CCCCCCGTACTTTAGTCCTCCCCCTCCTGACAGAAAGAGCAGACACTACCGAAAGTTTCACCCAGACTTCACGTGGGAAATGGCCACGTTTCTTGCTTGGTTTCCAGCCTGTAGCACACAAAGCCTTGTGCCTGTCCAGCTCAGCTGCTGGATCTCTAAAGCATTTCCCATGCAGTTTCCACAGTTTAGAGGCCATTCTGCCTCTATTCCAGATCTGAAACTGCTGAGAAGTGAGAGGTCAGCTGGGAATTTTTGTCTTCAGCTGCTTCATCCCCTGATGATACTTGATGTGACACTTCTCACAAGAACACCGACTTGGTTGCACAGAGGATAGTCCCACGTGATTAAACCACTACCTGCATGATCTCTCATGTCATACTCCTTGCAAGACCCCAGTGAGACCTCAGGGTAACCCGAGCAGTGATTTGTGATGGTTTCGTGCTGGGACAGCCTTTGTAGGAGAGAGATGTTGCTCTGAGTGTTGCCTGTTTGAGAAAGTGAACTTCACAGGCCGGCCAGCTGCAGCCAGATGAGTCACCTTGCATCTGTCAGGATGCTCTGGGTGGTGCAGCAGTCACGGATTATTGGAAAGTAGCTCAGCACTGGGCAGCCAGAACATGCAGCAGCGAGGTCCTCATCGCTCCCCAAAGGTCGCAGGGGTTAGCAGCAGCTGTCACAGATTCAGCTGGGCTGACTCAGTGGCTCATAACCGCCTCCAGGCTGGCATTAATACCCATGCCAAAACTTAGCAAAGATATAGAGACCTGAAGCAAACTTGAATATGAAGAGTGAGTAACCAGTTAGCAGTCACACGGAGTGATTTCTGGCCCTGCAGCATCTGTCTCATCACTTCTCACAAGAGTGGGTTGTAAACCAAGTGTGTGTGTGGGTGGGTGGGATTTCATAAATACATTGTAAATATTTCCGATTCATTTTCATCCCACAGAGGAATTATTTCTCATTTATTTGAGAATAACTATCAACCTCAACTAAAACAAGGCCAAGAAGCAAGACATCCTCGGTCAGGTCATGCTTCACACTGGCAGTGAGGACAAGCTTTGCATCTGTTCTGAAGTTCAGTCCTGTGCTAGCTGAGTATTGTCCCTCACCGTGGCTGTGATAAGGCTTGTGACAAACAGCTCAATATAATGGTAAAGTCAATATTGAGCTCAGTTATGTCCTGATCAACAGTCCGTCAAGACATGTGTATGCTGCAGTGCGGGCTGAGGTGGGAGGAAATTAAGTGAATCGAGCAGTACGTTACAAGTCAACATAAAGAGAAAAGCGAGGGCCACATCAGGCTGTGCCTCTGCCATTTTTGGTGATGAGAGATTCCCTGGGTGCTCTTCAAACAGCAAAGAAGTAGGGTCATACTGTATTCTGGGCTGCTTTCATCTCTAGCACAATTCTTCTGCCTTTTAAAATGCCTTCCTGTTTTTCAGGAGGATCATTAGTTTGTTGGAGATGGCCCCTGTGTAGCTGGAGAACATACTAAGGTATAGTTAAGAGTCAGGCGTTTCCTATAACATGTTATTTCTGAGACCTATGAATCTTTTGACAAACCCACAGGATCACCCAGAGATTAAGACAATTCCAGAAATACGAAGAGCCAAGAGAAACTTGTTCCCCACCTCATATTTGTTGCTTTAATTTTCTCAGGGCTTTTGGTGGCTTTTTTTTCTCCGTGAGAAAATTCATTCCCAGTGTAATGGCAGTATCTGAAGGTTGGAGTCAGATTTTACAATTTCTGGTTTATCACTGTTTCTCAATGCTGTTCCTGGAGGGACACTTGAGGCACAGGTCAGGTTCTGCCCACGAAATTACAATCTAAACTCAGGAACCTTCTTAGTCTGCACAACCGTAGCACAGTTTTGTTTTTCCTGACATCTTCCCAGGGCTCCATTCTTTTCCACCATCCAGGGTAACATTTTCCTCAGCCTCACTGGGGTAGGATTAGAGATCATCTGAATCCCTGTCAGGAGCACACTGATCTGGCAGAAGCATAAGAAGAGCCAGCTGAGCCAGATG